ACCAACTCGTCACCGGGCTCTGGTTTTGTCAACAAGGGCAGCTCGCCCAAGAACTCCTTCAATCTCTCGAAAGCCGTTTGTGCCTCGTCATTCCATAAAAAGGGCGACTTCTTTTTCAGCAGCTTGAAGAATGGGAAGCTTTTTTCTGCGGCCCGAGCAATGAACCTGCTCAGTCCTGCAATCCGTCCCGTCAGAACTTGTACATCTCGTATGCTTCTTGGCGGGGCCATGTCGAGTATGGCCTTCACTTTTTCCTGGTTTACCTCGATTCCATGCTCTGTGACGATATATCCCAGGAATCGCCCTGCCTTTACTCCAAAGGCACACTTGTTGGGGTTCAGCTTCATCCCGAACGTCCTAAGAGTTCGAAATGTTTCCCTTAAGTCGTCTGGGTGCGAGGTTGAGACTTTACTTTTTACCAAGATGTCGTCCACATATACCTCGATATTTCGCCCGATCTGAGATTTGAACATTCGGTCCATCAACCTTTGGTAGGTGGCTCCAGCATTCTTAAGCCCAAACGGCATGACAACATAGCAATACGTCCCTTTACTCGTTACGAAGCTCACCTTACTTTGGTCCTCCGGGCATAGTGGGATCTGATGATAGCCCTGAGATGCATCCATCATACTTAACAATTCGCATCCAGCCGTAGAGTCGACGAGCTGATCAATTCGTGGTAAAGGGTAATGATCCTTCGGGCAAGCCAGGTTCAAGTCCCGGAAATCGATGCACATGCGCCATTTGTTTAGTGCCTTTCTTTACCATCACAGTGTTGGATATCCACTCGGGGAATTGGATTTCTTTGAAATGTCCTGCCCGCAGCAACTTATCCACCTTAACCTCAATTGCCTTGTCGATCTCTTCTCCGTGACGTCTAAGTCGCTGTTTTACTGGTTTTCTGAGAGGGTCGACATTGAGTTTATGCTCCATAACAGCGGGGTCGATCCCTGTCAACTCTTCAGGGGTGAAGGCAAAGACATCCCTGAATTCCTTTAATAATGCGATCAGCTGGTTTTGTAGCTCGACTTTCAGATCTTTCCCGACCTTAGTGGTCTGTTCCTCTGTTTCTCCAATTTGTATTTCCATTAACTCCCCGTGGGGTTCGAGATCAGTATTCCTTGGCCTTTTCTCGCTCACCATCGGCTTTTTTCCTTCCTTCACCTCCGTCCGTTGGTTTGTCCTTACTGGGATTTGATAGCAGGTTCTCGACAGCCTCTGGTCGCCCCGGGCCTCTCCCACCCTATCTCCGACAGGGAATTTTAGCTTCATATGGTAGGTTGACACTACCGCTTGGAATGCGTTAAGTGCCGGCCTTCCCAGAATCACATTATAAGCCGACTCGACGTCGACCACAACAAATCGTACCATTTTTACCTTCCTTAAGTCGCCTTCCCCGAGGACGACAGCGAGAGCGATTTCCCCCAGGGGGGCGACTTCCGAGCCATTAAATCCAAAAAGCGAAGTGTGGAGAGGTGAGAGTTCAATGTCGAGTTCCATGCGTTTAAGACAATCGAAAAAGATCACATTCACCGAACTCCCTGTGTCGACAAAGATTCTCTGAACTTCGTAGCCCGATATCTGGGCTGTGATCATCAAGGCGTCGTTATGAGGCCTCTCAACTGCTCCTATGTCGGCTGGCCCGAAATTCATCACTGGCCCATCCTCTTCGACCTGCTGCACTTCGGTTTTTCCATGATGGCCTCGAGCATATGCTTTTCTAGCCCGGTTTGAGTCGCCATCAGTTGGCCCTCCAAATATCATATGGATTACTCCTCTTTTTTGGGGAAGCTCTGCTTTGTCGGGTGTTCTTGCCCTCTTGTGGGGGCTTTTGCTCCTCTCTCTTCGTCGATTGGGTCGTTCTCGATCTTTATAAACGAACTCCTTCAGATGGCCTGCTTTGATTAGTCTCTCAATTTCATTTTTCAGGTGCCGACATTCGTCGGTGTTATGGTCGTAGTCTTTGTGAAATCGACAATACAGGTTACTTTTGAGTTGTGTCGGCCCGTCCTTTCTCGTTTGTGGCCACCTGACAACGTTGTCACGGATTTCTCTCTCCATTACCTCCAGTATCCTCACACGCGAGGCCGACAGAGGAGTATATTGGGCTGTCCTCCACCCCCTCGGTCGTCCCTCTCTTTCGGCTCTCGGGGATCCTTTCCTTTCAGTTGTCGCGACAAGCTTTTTGTCCTTCTTCTCGTCCCGAGGCTCAGCTTTTGGCTTAGCCTCCTGCCGAAAGTCGGCTTCGGCTTCCTCGACATTCATGTATTTGGCGCATCTTCCCAGCACTTCATCGAACGTCCTCCCGGGCCGCTTTGCTAGGGAATTTCTGCACAATCCCGGGAGTAGCCCTCGAGTGAGTCCACCCGACTTGATTTCCTCGGTGGCCGAGGGGACGTCGACACACGCCCGTGTGTACCTTGCCACGTAGTTTCTTAATGATTCCCCTTCCTTCTGCTGCATACCTATCAAAGTAAGGTACGACTTTTCTTGGGCTCTTACACTGGCAAATTGGTTTAGGAAACTAGAGCTGAATCCCTCAAAATCCCTGACGGCCCCCGGGGGCAACTGATGAAACCAATACTGTGCGGGCCCTCGTAGGGTTGTTAGGAATGCTCGACACTGAACGGGGTCGTTGTATCGGTGTAGCACTGCCATGTTTTCGAAACTTCTGAGGTGCCGAGAGGGGTCAGTCGACCCGTCGTACCAGATATTAAGTTCCCTGAACCCTTGAGGCAAATCGGCATCTAAAATATGTTGTGAAAAAGGGTGTCCCCTCGAGCTTCCCGTTTTTCTTCCTTCCACCCGAGCCTGCAGGTCTCGGACCTGTGCTAACAGTTGTTCCAGCGTGCCGTTTCTGGCTTGTGGATTGACGGTTCTGACAGAGGACTCCTCCTCGTCTATCCTCCGGTTCTGCCTTTCATGGGATTGTGCCTGTTGTTCGCGCTCGGGAGGTTGTTGCTCATTTTGGGGTTGTTCGACTCTCGCTTGTTCGATCCTGGGCCGCTCGACCCTTGGTTGCTCGACTGGTGCCCGTTTGAGTTGGGCCGCTACTGCCTCCGCGATCATTCTTTGCATCTCGCTTCTCGTCACGGTCAACGTTTGTTCCTCGCTTTGGGGCGGTGGCCTTGTTTCCTGTTCAAGTTGCCCAGGTTGCCTCCCCATCCTAAGAGAGATTTCGGTTGATGCGTGACCATCTATCCCTTCGCTTGTGTCCCTCACGTGACTGGTTTCCCCCTGAGTGAGAACCGGGATCTTGACTCCGGGTGGGGTAATGGGTGTCTCTTCTCCCGTACGCCCTCCTGACGGCGCGTGCGCCCCAAAAGGTGGGAATCCCAGTACCTGGAGTGGTGGTCTAAAGCTGGGGATCGGCGGAGGTCGCTTGTCTGTCCATGTTGCCCTGAAGTCTTCGTTCAAGTTTTTCTGCACTCCTTCCTTCTCAGCCATCGGAAACAGATCAAAGCTAGGTGTAAAGCTCTTAATTCCTTCAAGAGCTCCCCACAGACGGCGCCAAAATGATGGGTCTCCTCTCAGATCTGGAACGGTCCAATGGGAAAACGTCCGGATCTGGGATGAACCGGTGTGAATGAGCTTAGATCTGATATGATGGATCTCGAACCGTTGCTTGAGCTGCAAGAACACCTGCAAGAACTCAACGCCGGAGGGGTTTCCGGCGTAGAGCCTCCGACGCTCAAGTCAGTATATGAGAGAGATGATGAGAGCTGCTATGAGAGACGCAGCAGTAATGAATAGGGTATGGAATGAATGGGAGTTAGGGTTTTGGGATTACCTCAGTTTTTTATATAAGAGTACAATATATACCTGAAGTCCCCAAAATGCCCCGGCCGACTTAATGGAAATGTCCAGAATACCCCGGTCGGTTCGTATTCCGCTTACTTCCTAGTCAGCATCTAGATCCTTCCTTAGCTTCCTTCTTATCCTTAACTCTTCTTCAATATGCTGAGGTGTCTCAAAACTATCGGGAACCACGAACTACAGGACTCCCTCAGTCGACTTGGGATATTGCGTCGAATCGACTGGGTCGCATTCAACCGTTAGCAGACCCTAATACATCTGACTGTTGTCTTATCAGAGGTCGACTTATTCTAGTCGACAGGTGTACGTTGACTCGGTCGAGAGCCGGACTTCTTGACTGAGTATCATGGAATCTTACTAATAGAGTCGACTTTGCCGAAGTCGACTTGGTAGTCTCGAACCGTGATGATATGAACCGCTATGAGCCAGTTGTGGCAATGCCACGGTCACTGAACCGATACACGACAGTATGGCTATATCACTCACCAAAAGGCAAAACCGAAAAAAATAAAGATAAGATAGACAAAATATCGATCAGCACCTCTCAATGAAAGCACCAATGATGACGGATCGATCTTTTGTCTATACTGGGTTGCAAATAAACGACGCACTGAGGCCTTCGTTTATCCCCGATAGGTGTATCTAACAGAAGCACTACGGCCTTCTCCTAGATACCGTGACTTCAAGACGCACTATTGGCCTTCTCTCCGACACTGCATGTAAAGACGCACTAATGGCCTTCTTTATCACACGTTAAGAACATGAAGTTCCCCCTCAATTGGCTCACCAATTCAATACTCAATTCAACATGTCCAATATGATGAGGTACATGGGGTATTTATAGTTGTAAAATAAAGCTATGCCTAAATCTAATAGATCTCCTAAATATTGCAAGAATAGAAATCCTAAGTCTAGAAAGCAATAAAATCCTAAACCTACCAAAATACTAATGCTTGGCTTGCACACCAAGCAAATCTAGAAGCTCCCTAAACTAAAACCCTACGCTTGCCCAACTCTTCGGCCGCCTCATGACCGCCTCTCGCGCATGTACGCGTCTCGCACTCCTTGTCGGACTCGGTCTCTTGCGCGCGCTGCTCCCACGCGTCGCCCCTCGCACTCACCTCGTCCACACCGATTCCCGCTCGCGCGTGCGTATCCGTGCCCAGCACTCCTACACCCGCTAGGTCTCGGTTTCCGCTCGCGTCACCCGCACTTGCGCGCCCGGCGCGCCCCGCATGTCCATCGCCTGCCGCTCCGCGCGTGCCGCCAGTCCCCGAGGTCCGCTCCTCTATTGCGCAGCCCCGTGCGCCCGTAGTGCCGCACGTATCGCCCACCTCCTCGTCATCGCCCGCTACGCCTATGCCCATACGGATTAGGCATCCGCCCGCGTTGCTGGTACTCGCGCGCCCATCGCGCGCCTCGCCCCAGCTGGCCATCCATCGCGCGTCCCGACCACTCACGCGGTTGCCGACTTCCTCGCCTACGTACGTGCCGTCGCTCGGTACTCCCCCGTACTCGTGCGCTGCCTTGGCGCAACCCGTGCTCCCCGTCTCTTCGCCACATCCGATCGCGCTTGCCCCCTCTCGTACTCGATCGTTCGGCCATCCGCGCGCATCATGGCACGATGCGCGCCATACACCTGATAACCGATCTTCCTCGATCCTTTGGTCGCTCGCCCCCGTTGGTTCGCCCGATGGCCATGGGTCCCATCCTTCCAACCCAATGCAATCACCCGCTCTCCAAATCCACCCATCTTCCATACGACTCCTACCTCCCTTTCGAGCCACCATCTTGCGAACTCCCCTTTTCCTCGCACAAGGCTTGCACCTACACTTCTCCTCTTTTGCCTTTGCCTTGTGTATCCTTCGAGCTTGTTTGGTCTGGCTCCTCCTAGGCTTCAACTTTGCTTGCGGACCACATCCCTTCGGCCAGTCTCTTACACATGATGGTCGATTATTCGGGCTTGATGGCTCTTCCAACATGTTCTCTAACCATAAAATGAGACTATCCTCACCTTCATCGTTGGACTCACCGGGGTTGATGACCACTTCCGCATCATTCCCCTCCTCTTCGAGACTATCCTTGTCCTCAAGGATTAAGAAATTAAGCGCTCCTTCCTCTTCATTGTTCTCTACCACCATCGCTTCCCGGGCTTCCATGAGGTGTCGTTCATACTCCTCAATATTCCTCCTCTCATGAAGCTCGTCTAAATACGTTTTCTCCCATGGTGTGAGCTCTCTTTCTAAACCCTCCAACATCTCAAGATCTTCCCAATCAAACTCATCCATTGGTGGGTAAGACATTTTTTTTTTTTTTTT